CAGAGAAGAGAAATTTGACATACATGTAAAGCAGATATGCATATGGCTCTTCAATTACAACAACAATGCAAACATGCATATCAGACAAAAACAAACACCAGATCTGCCTGATTCTTTCAACTTTGGGGATGAAATGTTGCCCATCCCCGACTCATGATATTGTCCATTTAACTGAGATACAGCTTGGCTGAGAGTACATACAAGTATTTATCCAGTTGAAAATGACTAACTGTTGTCATTCACCAAAAATACCTCCCAAGGTCAAACTAGGATCTCACTGATGCCAACTTTCAGTGTACTAATCACCCAAATACATGCACCCAAAGATGTTTAAGTCTGCTTTAATAAGAGAATACAGCAGCTGAAGCACTAGAAGATTGGCAAAGCATAATGTCATGAGACAAAAACCCACTGTGTAAAATATTCAGCTATGGTCTAAACAAAGAGCGAGCCTATAATTATAAAAAGGAAAGGACAAGCCACCTTTGAAGCACTTTGCTGGCTTTTTTTGTGTAATGGTGGAAAACCAAAACAACAGTCAGACAACAGTAGAATTCGTGGAGAATTTTTTTGTGTGTGTGTTAAAACAACTGAGTCATTTACATAGAATAAATATGGTAAATAATAAAAATACAGTAGAAATCAGAGTTATATTAACCCTTTGAAAGATGCTTTTGGAAGAATTTGGAAGAACAAAAATGATGAATTCTCTTAGTCTGTTGGGCAATGAGTTCATGGAACATTCAAATTTCGCCATTAACTAAAATAGCAAAGTTGCACTTGTGATGAATGAGCGATCTGTTTCCATTGCTATCTTTGCAGTCTGCTTGTCATTCACATTTTCAGCAGGGGGACAACTGGTTTTCAAATGCTGGTAAAACCATTTAAACTGAGAAATGAGAAAAACTTTCTGCTAGATGGTCAAACCAGGTGGACAAAATTGTCCACACAGGCGGTCAATTTGCTCGGTGCCTGGCCCTTAAGGTGGCTCAAAACAGTTTCCAGGTGTTAGATTTTGATGGGCCTTTATAACCACTCTTTATCACTTGATGCTAAAATCATGATATCAAAAAACTGCCCAATCATCGGGTGAACACATTATCATTTTTGTGGTTACCATAGCAACAGTATGACCTGCTAAAAACACCCTTACTTACTGCTTTAGGGGCTCATAATTCAAAATAAAATAATTCAGAGCCACCTTAAATTATTAAAACTTTAAGGTGGCTCTAAACCCTATGTACAAATTTTTTCAAACTTTGCCAAAAGTTGCATCTTATCATGCTTATTAAAATTTGATTATATAAAAAAAAATTCACAGTGCCATTTTTGAATTATAAGCCCCTAGAGCTGTATTAAGAGTGTTTTCAGCAGGTCATACTGTTGCTATGGTAACCTATTGTGTCACGAAAATGATAACAATGTGTCCACCAATGATTGGGTAGTTTTTTGATAGCGGAGCTCTGGCAGCCCAAAGGGCCGCCAAGCGGAGCCCCATACCCATATAGGAAAGAAAACGAAACCCATGAATAGATTTTCTCATGGTTATCATGGCTAGCAGTATTGCTCGTGGACATGTACACACGACAATGATGATGATGACAACGACGGAGTCAAGCAAGATGACGGCCATACTTCAGCTAAAAGGTTGACAGAAACATACAGCCTTCACTGCAAAGTTACAAAATTCAGGTCAAAATTCTCGCTTAAAACCTGGGTTATCTTACAACCCAGCCCAGGAGCTCTGCTTTTAGGCTTGGCTAAATCTATATATTACCATGATTGTCGCACCAAGTGATAAAGAGTGGTTATAATGACTCATCAAAATCTAACTGCTGGAAACTGTTTTAAGCCAGCCCATAATGAAACCCCTGTTTGTTTCTTGGTCTTTTACAAGTTTTAGTTTCCAAAATTATTTCTCAACTGCGTTGATACACTAAGGAGCAAAGAGACACCATTCTCTTTTCTGGCACCAAACATACTACAAGTTGACACCACATTTTAATTTGCATAAACAGCACTAAAACATGCGATATGCTTATGCAAGTGGAAAAACAAAAATTTTGAAGTTGAAATCAAAACACTCAATTATCTTTCTTAACTCTTCTCCTGGAGCTATCAAAAGGTATTGCTTACTTCTAATTAACAAAACACAAAATTAAACCTGATCGCTCTCCAGAATTTTGTGACAACTTGGTATGCTCTAAGATTAGAGCTGAGTGAATAGCCCAATGAAATTAGAGAATTGGTCACCCGTTGGGATCTGTGACTAGCAGGCTGAACACCTCAGCCTCATTATATAGGTTCCCTCCACGTTTAAAAATAGCTGGTTGGTAAAAATTTATCCCAGACATATATAAGAATATCAATCCCTGGATCATTTATTCTTAGGTCATTTATATAAATAAACAGAATTAACTTACGTCATAGTCAGTTATCCTCACTTGGATATTGCAAAAGGTGCAAAACAGTGCTCGAAATGGACACTGCTGTTCTTGGTGATAAGCTAACTCGTGTTGTGGAATACTGACATTACAGCCAACATTAACACATGGTATTGGCTTAAAAGGGCAGTCCTGGTAATGGTCCTAGAAAATAAAGGTACAAAACAAGATTCATAACACATCAGTTTTGAATAGCATGCAACATGTAAGTTACATTGTAAGTGCTCA